AGCTAAACGAGAAGCCCGATACCACTCGCGCTTGTTTTTTGTCATATGAGGCTACCATCAGTAGCTGGTTTAGCATAGCTTGGCCTAAAGATTTGAAATGGAGGTAAATAGAAGAAGTAATCTGGTCCATAATGCTTTGTCCCAGAGTTTCTCAGCTGGGTCTGACAGACAGTAAGCTCTCTGTCTTCCAGGAGCATCAGTGAAGTACAGTGTGCTCTACCTGTTGGGCCTGGCGTTGCCGTATGTCCACTTCATGTTCCTCATCTGGGCGGTGTTTGAGATATTCACGCCCATCATGGGCCGCAGTGGCACAGAGATACCCCCTGAGGTTGTGATGGCCTCTCTGATCACCCTGGCAACCATCTTCCTGTCCTCTTTTTTTGTGAGTGTCCCTACATTATGTACAACAACAAACAGCAAATCAGGATTTTCTTTTTAAGCAGCATCACTTTGAAATCACAGCAGGCGTAAACTGGAGAGTGCAGGCAGAATAGAACAGTTTTATTGTGTTGGTCAACTTTATGGGCAGCAGCACTGTTGTTTCAGCAGCAGGGAGTTTACTGTAACTGTTCGGCTGCAGATAAACAAGATAATAGCTGTGTATAGGCAACTGGGAAAAATGAATTTATTGCAAAAGCCTGCACTTTATATTGTTCATTGAATATTTTTTTCTTTTCTGTCTCAGCTACATTTTATCTACTTGGTACGGAGCACTAAGCGGATCCTGGCTGGTTTGGGCTCAGTCGTCATCGTCATGCTCCTGTTGGTGTCCTGCGGCCTCTTTTTTCCTTATTCAGGCAGTCCAGACAGCCCACGGCCTAAACGTGTCTTCATGCAGGTTCACAACACACACCCTCACACACACAGAAACACAAATATGTACACACATGAGAGGAGAGAAAAGTTTAGTATGGGTGATTTCTATGTCTTTCTTATAATTCTCACTAAGAAAATTACATAGAAGTCACCCATCCATGTAAACTTTTCTCTCCTCTCAGTAGGAGTCCTCCATTTAGAAAGTAAAAATTTTGTTCTGACATTGTATTAGTTGTGTCAAAATGTTATACTGGAAATGGGGAAAATGCCCTCACTCAAATGGAGAAAGCATTTATGGCTGAGATGGAAAATGAAATATAATACAACACTTTTAAATCCCACACAAAACCTTCCACTTTTTGGTTACTTCATTTGTTGGTCTTAATTGACCACCATGCAGTATGACTCCGCCTTGTATGGTTTGTATGAAATCTCCTGCTGGGAACATACAAAGTACTGATCAATCTATAGTATCTCTTCTTGCACACCATGACATCTCTCCACAGCCTGAATTGGAAAACGCCCTCCAACTGCACAGAGAACAACATAAAACCATTCGGACAGGAGTACTACAAGCCCGATTGAAGGAAAGTGTGAACTTCAGTGAAACAAATGGTAATTTTGAAATTTACCTCCCTCCCCTCTGCAGCATACAACAAGGACCTTCCACAATCTCCAGGGCCAGGTGGAGAGCCGGGACTCGGGCCTTTGGATCAACGGCTTTGACTACACAGGCATACAGCACCTCACACCCAGCATCCCTGAGATCAACGATAGCATTCGCACTCACTGCCAGAATGACCGGCCCTTCTGTGGTTACCCCTGGTTCCTGCCACTGAAGTTCCTCTGCCGGTCAGTAACACTGCCTCGTGGCTGACGAGCATTGCTTCCATGATCTTTGTTGTTTACATCCTCTAAAAGGTCTTGTCTTCATGTATGACTTTCCATACCTTGTATTCTTCCTCACCTCAAGTATTTTGATGTATTTGCAGGAAGAGTTGGTATCTTCCTGCCCCAGAAGTGTCTCCCAGCTCTCCCGTGGAGTTCCGCCTGCTGTCAAGAGAGGAGACCAGCTGGGGGAGCATCAAGATGACTTTCAGTGCAAAAGGTCAAGAGCACGTTATGTAATTAAATATGAAAATATTATAAATATTTGGCTTGATCTCTGACACTTTAGTTGGAATTTATGCAAACAATTTAACAACTTGGACGCAAAACATCAGCACTGAGGGTCAGGCTAGCAGACACACTATCACTTGTGTAGAATTACAAACCCAGAGTTCAGTATGAAGGACTTGACCTTAGTTAGTTGGTTAGTAGCCAGTCAAGATTTGTCAAAACCAATCGGTTCTCTGCTGGCAGCTGTGTGTTTCTCATCGAGCCATTTCTGACTATTGCACGCTGAATCTTTGTGCAGGTTTAACACATCAGTTCACTCATTTTCAGCAAAATAAACTCAATAAGGTTATATATTGGCTTTAACAGTTCTCTTTTTAAGCACCTTATGACCAATCTGCATGTTTGCAAGTTAACTGGAGCATGCATGTTTGTCCCTCTGTCCTGTCCCATGCAGGCCCCAGCCACATGTATCTATGTCTGGTGCCTCATCGAGGAGCCAACCTCTCCACCTGGTCCTTTGGTGACGGGACACCTCGGTTTGACCAGAACAGAGAATATGTCATCTTCTATTCCCACGGCCTTAATTCCACCACATGGACCTTCTGGTTTGAAATACAGGTACAAACTGTTTTGGAGGAGTGGAGTAATCCGGTGAACGGACCAGTGTCTCTACATGTGCCACTTGTGGTTTTTAAAAAGAAAATAATAGCAAACCATTGTGATAGTTAATATTTGGCAAAACTTTGGATCAATGTAGAATACTGAACATATTCCTCACTAACAGTGTAGATTTGTTCCAACCTGTGTATGAACAGTTTCACATTTTGGGAAAAACGCACATTCACTTTATGTTAATTTGTGACCTTTAAGCTGTGCTAGGAGACACATTGCACCAATTTCCAAAATGCTACAACATGATAAAAAAAAACATTACTTACTGCTGCACTGTGACTCCATGAAATCCATCTTAGTTTCCAGACAGATGCAACTGAAGTTTGGACTTTTCTTTCATTAAATTTCTGCAGGAGACCGGTTCCTGCCCAATCACAGTTGGACAGTTTGAATGCATAGGGATATCTATAAACTCTACTTCTGAGATTTAATTCTTTTGAATTGCATTAAAGGCTGCATGAAAACCGTCACTGCTTTTCAAAGACACCTTAAAACCCATTGCATAAGGTAAAAAAACAGGCAGCACATGTGAGCTAAAGACAAGGCCTGGTAATAAAACATTTTGTCTGGTTCTGGTCCACTTGCATCTTAATTTGTCCATTCTGATATGTTCATGGTTTTTTTTCTTGTTCTCTGTCAGCCTCCCAGGGACCCAGGCCCTGAGGGAATGATCTCAGTTGCCATCTCCTCCCATTATTTCTTTGGGGAAGACCAGAGGACTGCTCAGCTGGAGGAAATCCTCCGCAGGTTTCCCACTTGGGCTTTTCCTTCGTCTTGGGTCAGTACCTACGACATGTACCGATACTGAGCACTGCAGGCATCACAGAGGCTGAAAAATCAGTATAACAATGCCCTGGGCAGGTACCATATTTACTGAGCCTTAAAATGTCTATTTGTCTCCTGGAAACTTGCTATTAGGAGAATACACTGTGAAATAATGGATTAAAAAACTGTTAAATGATTTCAAAAAAAGTCCTGTTCCCATAAATAAACTGCTGTAGCTGAGCTAAAATGAAGACATAACAAGGCCACCGCAGATGAAGGCTGAGTTAGTCGACCCTGCTAGGATCCGTCTTTCAGCCCAGAGGGGAGCTGCACTGCACTGTTTGTTCCTGGGTGAGCTGAAATGTCTCTAGGAAGGTGTCATTAAAATTAGGTATGGGGCTTGCTGAAGACTGCTGATTGTTTTAACTGTTGTCCGTGTTGCCAATTTTCCTCTAGTATGACCTGTTCTCCGCTGTTAACGCCATGTTCCACTCAGTATTACCACCACCACCTCCATAACAATCCAAACCTGGTGTCCGACGCCAGGTTGTTCTTTTGTAAAGACTGGTGTGAATGTTATTGTTGGAGAGGTTTAGATCATATTTAGCTGAGAATAACTAATGTTAGAGTGTCATGGGTTGCAAGGCGTGGTCACGCTTGTCTGTTGGCTACCTCTGTTCTAAGTCAGTGAAGTGGAGATGTACAGATTTATCTTATGAGGTCTGCTGTCCTGGTGTTGCATAGCTGTGCCATCAAGGAAAGAGAGCAACGGTGCCTTCGCCCTCACACACTAATGAAAGTCACACATAGTATCCGGTTGTTGGTTGTCCAGACATGGAGGAGGCCATAAAGTGTAGCTTCCAAGGAGACAGTGGTCTTGTGTGGCGCTGTACGGCATTTTAATGTATGTGAATTGTCTGCTTATCACAGAATTCAGTAGCACTTGGTTATTTGAAAATGGACAGTTGCTCTTTTATGCATTGGGTGTAACACCTACTGAGCAAAACAAACCCTCTGCTGATTAACGCTGGTATCCAAATGCCACCACAAGGTTCGTCCAGTGGCTGCTCTGGAACTTTCAAGTCGTATTTTGCAGATGTTCAAATGTCTATTTTTTATAAGGTCATCAATTTTGGATTAAAAGTTTTCTGGTTCTTTCTAAAGTCAAGAAAGAGCTTCAAGTACTCCAACTGCAGCTGCTGAGGAACCTGGTGTGATATGACCAAAAGCTCCACAGCAGCTACTGAGTGGACCTTGTGATAAAAGCCATGTCAGCAGAATATCGACTCTGTAAGAGTAAAACAAGAAATTCAGTTTAATTGGTTGGTGAAATAGTCAATGTAGGGATTTGATCTCGTACCGAGTCTTTTTTTTTTTCATCAGCAGATATGCAGTGTCCAAGGAAAAATGCTTTCATGAATCTTTTTCTAAAATTCTGTCGCTAAGGGGCACAGTGCTTGAGTTGTTAGACAAGACGACATCAATCTCGATGTATTAATCTTGATGTATTCACCTTTTTATTTTTAAATGTTAAACCTGTTCAGTTTTATCGTTACCGGAACACTTATTTAAATGTCCCGATGTTTCACCCTACGTGTTCAGTTCTTGTTCTGAGTCATAAATTAAGATTGTTTTTTGATTGATTTGACACCATTACATGACTACTTGGAACCACTGTTTTTTTTATTTTTTTTTATGCATTTGTCTGTTAGTTGAGATAGTTTGGGATTGATTTAATGGACAAGATGATTTGACATTATGCCAATTAAATTAAATTACATTTCATGTTAGTGGTTGTATTGTCCTCTGTTTAGAAACACTCAGGTTTAACTGAACTCAATGAGGCAAACCAATTTTAAAAATAATTTATTGGTCTTTATGTACAAGGAAAAAATGAAGTAGAAAACCAGACATTGAGTAGAAAAGGGAAATGTACAAGAGTATCTTTACACTGCGCTGAGGATGTCTGCTGCTCCATAACTGTCAAGCATCAGCCAATACTTTTAAACTGTCCACAGGAGGAAGGGAGCACTGTCCACCTCCGAGTGACCCCTCCTCACCTGCAGAGAAGGAAACCGCAAAAGATCCACAATATTAATTTCCATAGGAAACTGTCTCATATGCCGTTGGCATAGTTTCTTGTGAGACTGACAGGGCGTGTTTTATTCCCTCTGCGTAATGACAAGTTCTCAATCGAAGCGACCGGTTCAAACAGAAGGCCTCTGGATGTAAAGTCTTTGGTTCATCAAGTTACCGTTTTCAAGTCGGGTAAAGCTTACAGCGGAGCGGCGTTATGTAGCTGCAGGCTTGTTCAGAGTGGAGACGGGTCCACTGCGACGAGGGGGCAACAGGATTTATGTACAGTGGCGACAGTAATACTGCGCTGCCTAGTCATTTTGCCCTTTTGTGAAAGTGTATTCTAACACTACAGGCAGTTTAAAAAACCAGGAGACATTTAAGCATCCAAATTACAACAGATACCACACAGGCTCATCTTTAGGGAGGAGGATTAGGGCCACTATTAAACAAAGAGTTCTGACCCCCCCAGGATTTTTACTTTAATCTTAAATTTTTGTTTTTAAAGGATAAGGCTGGTCATTTTCTCTTTTAAACATTCCCTCTACACTGAACCTAACCGTGAATTGCCTCCACTCACTGTTAATGTCTGTCAGCCCTGGATTAGCTGATTTGTTTGTGCCGTAAACCACCATTGTATATTAGGGTCTTGTTTTTTTGTAATGAGGAAACATCGCCCAGTGTAGCGGGGTGTTTCCCTGATGTGTTTTTAATTGTTTTTGAACAAGTGAGGTCTATGGCACAGATGAACAAGCTAATCCAGGACTGATAGACATTAATCATGAGTAGAGGCAAATCATTGTTGGGTTTAGTCTCTGTATGAAGAGTGTTGAAAATGGCCGGCCTTATCCTTTAAACTCAAAATGATGCAAAAAAAAAAAAAAAAAGTGGTCCTCATCTTCTTCCGTACATCTCGGACACGCACAAGAAAGCAGAAATGTATCTATAAAATCTGATTTGGTTTAGCATGAATGGCAAAAGCTAACAGCTGGAGGGGAAGACAAGTGCTGAACATAAAATATAAAGCCGTGTAACATTTCAATACATTGCACAATATAATACTGACATATCTGTGACAAACCTGTTAGTGTTTACGGTAGAGAGCCAATACACGAGTTTGATTAACTGAAGAGGGAAGGTAAATAAAATAAACCAAACACGTTTCTGGGTAACAATTCTGCAATGATCACGCAGCTATAACGCAAATAAATAATAGTAATACAGTAATATTGATGACTAATAAAAAAAAAAAAAACCCATTCAATGTGATCAAAATCACCAAATATGTCAACACATTATCAATACAATGTGGTAAATGCTTTCAGAAATCCACACAGAAGCACATGACTGCCTGTGGCGAAATCGGTAATCTCTGCCTCAAGTGGCTCAGGGATGTGCTATACGTGTTGGACTGGGTGAAATCTGAGTCCCTGTCAGATGATAATGGTTAAAAATACACAACAAGCCAAGACAGCAATGAATCACTTTAAAATTATACTGATGTGTCACTATCAACAGTACTGACAAGGGACTCA